CACCATGGCCACAGAAACTCTCATAAAGAAAGCACTTAATTGAGAGCTTGCTTAGACTTTCAAAGGTTTAGATCATTATATTCATGGTGGGGAGCATGGCAGCTCACTGCAGAGAAGGTGCTAGAGAACTAGCTTAGAGTTCCACATGCTGATCTGCATAGAGAGAGGGAGAGAGAGAGAGAGAGAGAGAGAGAGAGAGAGAGAGAGAGAGAGAGAGAGAGAGAGAGAGTTAAGAGCATACACACAAATAGGTTTAAAATATGTACTTACAAGCAAAAATCAATTTATGTTCCTCCCTTCCTGTCTCATTATCAAGAAACATTGCAATAAAGTTTACAGGAATACCAGGAATCTTATTTAACTTATTTACACACAGATACACAAATACACACACACACACATACACACACAGATACACAAACACACATGTGCAAACACACACAGATACACAAATACACACACAAACGCACACACACACATCTTTTTTAAATTCAGGGAGTCTTGCTATACACTAAGTGGACACAGACTTTGTTGGCTCAAGCAGTCCTCCTGCCTCAGTCTCCTGTGTAGCTACAAATCGTATTTTACAGGAAATCAAGCCAGAAATTGTTTCCATTAAATGATCTGCTCGGTGGAAAGCCGACAATAGATTCACGATTACATTGGTTCGCTCTCACCTCAGCCTGCCACTGAGGGTCCCTTCCTGGAGGACGCCAGGTATGGCTCTCAGTTTTCTATGGGTGTTTTTTTTTTTTTTTCAATTTTAAATTATTATAGTTTTATGTGTTTTGCCTGCATATGTACGTCTGTGTGCCTCATGCATGCAAGTATCCACAGAGGCCAGAAGAGGGCAGCAGATCCTTTTGAACCCGAGTTCCAGACAGTTGTTAACTACCATGTGGATTCTGGGAACTGAACCTGGGTCCTCTGGAAGAACAGCAAGAGCTCTCTAGCCTCTCAGTGTATTCCTGTTTTGTTTTATTTATAGTTTATAGTTTGTTTTAACCCTGTTTTGTTTTATTTGTAGTTTATAGTTTGTTTTAAACAGAGTCTCTCTATTATACAGCTCTGGCTGTCCTGGAACTTACTATGTCGACCAGGCTGGCATTAAATTCAGAGATCCACCTGCCTCTACCTCCCAAGTGCTGGGATTAAAGGTATGTGCTACCATCACATCTGGCTCTCCATGTATTCTTTATGCACCTCTAAGAACATACACAAGTGTCAGCTTGGCTAGTGTACCCAATGTTTTGAACTTAGCTTTTGTTGTTGTTATTAAAAAGATATCCCACCTTTCTATTCGAAGTGCTTGCTCATTAGAAGTGGTTCTGCTGACTCAAATGCCCTGGGCGGGTAGAGCTCACTGATTCAGAATGGACAGAATATAATTTATTCAACCAAATCCCTACTGATGACCATAAAAGTTGATTCCAGTCATTTGATCTAAAACAAATGAGCAAGAACAATTGGGGGGTGTGTGTGTCAAAGAAATCGCTACATTTACACATTTATACACGACTTCTTTATTTTTATTAACAATTCAATATGCCCCAGCAACCATTGCTGTGGCTTAGGAAAAGGATGTGGTGACACAGGAATCAGATCTAGAGCCCTCCCAGCCGAGTTCAGCTTGTATCACCAAAGCCAGGCACTGTAGGGAGGGAGGTCCGGGAGACCCAGTGTGCTTCTGCTTCTGCCCACAACACCTTTGAGGCATGAGATGCATAACACGAAGAAGTTTTTTCCCCAGCACCTACTTGTACATGAAGGTGCAGTCTTAATCCCTTGCAAGACTGGCTTGAGGGTGGCTTGTTTTAGAAGCTAATTTCCTTCTAAAATGCAGGTGAAGAGGCTCACGGATGCTGTTATCGATTGCTTTTCCTGTCCCGGCTTTTCACCGAGGAAAATCAGCCACTGTATCCATCGTTCAGATCTACTTGTGACCGTCTGATCTTGGTTTACATCCATCTGAGCTTGAAAAATGACCGCCCTCAGACCGGTGGATGCTCCCTGAGGCACTCAGCTCTCGTGCGGATGGATACGTCAGCATCTTCTTGGAGTGGCGAAGTCTTTTCTGATCGGTCCTTGTTTTCCCCGCCGCTGCTCTTTACCTTTCATATAAATAAATAAATAAATAAATAAATAAATAAATAAATAAATAAATAAATAAATAAATAAATAAATAAATTTAAAAGCCCTTTGGCCACGTTTCTTGAGTTTATCTCTATATTACATCTACTCTGCTACTGGCTAGGCTGTCCAATCACATTTGAGCTTTTCAGTTACCCCTTTTTCATTGTCTATTATTGCTACTGAAGTGTTTGAAGATTTCTTACTGGGGAAAGGATTGGCTACTGGGAAAATCAGTTTTTCATCTTTTCAGCAAGAACTCCCCCGCAAACCTAATAATACACTTTCTAGTCATGTTAGATTCATTGCTCACTGCTCTAACCAAAAGGAGACAGGAATTTGCAGAAAGAAATTGATTCTAGTTACAGTTTGAGCCAGAACTAGGAGGATAATATCTCTCTCTCTCTCTCTCTCTCTCTCTCTCTCTCTCTCTCTCCCCCCTACCACCCCGATCTCAAGGAGAGGGAGCTAGTGTATTTTCATATAACTTCCTTTTTTTTTCTTAGTTCTACTTTTAAGAGAGAATTTCACAATTGCATATAATGTGTTTTCGGCAAATGCACCCCTCCTTATTCCCTCCAATTGCCCCCACCCCACTATTCCCTCTAAATTTCATGTTGTTTTAAACCCAGTGAGTCCACTTAGTGTTGCCAGTGTGAGCATAGATGTAGGGCCATCTACTGGCATGGGAGGTGTGTTAGTTAGAGTTTCTGTTGTTGTGAAGAGACACCATGACCACAGCAACTCTTATTAAGGAAAACACTTCATTGGGGCAGAAGGAATCTGTGTCACTGGGCATGGCTTGAGCATATGGGAGACCTCAAAGCCCACAGTGACACACTTCCTCCAAGAAGATCTCATAGTGCCACTCCCTGTGGGCCAAGCCCCTGAGTCTACGGGGACCACGCCTGTTCAAAGCACCACAGGCAGCCTCTCAAGTGTGGCATCCCTGGAGAAAACTGACTCTCCCTCCTCTAGAAGCCATCACTGCCAAGAGCTCCTAAGTCCCCAGCCCCACCCACGGTAAGACTGACCGGCTTGCTCTTGTCCAGGTCTTATGCATGCAGTTACAGCGGCTGTGAGTTCCTGTGTGTGCGCCTCAGCCCTGTTGTTTCCTCCAAAACAAGGCTCTGCTGTAGTCATCCACTACCTCTGACTTCTCAAATCGTCACTCCCCCTCTTCCGAGATGACCCCTGAGCCTCTGGAAGAGGGCCTGTGTTATCTAGATGTCCCTTGGGGCTGAACCCTTCCCAGTCTCTTCCTCTCTGCTCGATGACCAGTTGTGGGTCTCTGTGTTAATCACCATCCACAGCTACAGACAGAGAACATATACATTAAAAAGAGAAAGAAAGAGAGAAAGAAAGAAAGAAAGAAAGAAAGAAAGAAAGAAAGAAAGAAAGAAAGAAAGAAAGAAAGAAAGAAAGAAAGAAAGAAAGAAAGAAAGAAAAGAAAAGAAATGGGGCAAGGAAGCAAGCTAGCTTCGGAGCTCAGTCTCCAGAAGTGTGACTGATCTTAAATGCTGGTGACACAGTAGTCAACAGCGCACTGAGAATCCACTCCTGTGATGCCAACACTAAGGAAAATGAGGCCAAAAGAACATCACAGGTTTGAGGTGATCTAGGGCTACCAAGCCAGAGCGACTCTCAGAAACCCAGACAAGTTTTTACTGTCCTTAGGATTCTGTCACTCCAGCTGCGGTGACCGCACATGCGCAGTTCAGTAGCTAAGCAGGGGGTCCTGCATCTTACTTACATCATCAGTGTGCTGGATGATTGCGCAAATGCACGCAGCACATGTGTGGCGCAGCTCTGTAAGCCCACCTGCACATATGCAGGGGAATCCTTAAAAAGCCGGACAAAGACTCTTCCCTCTCTTCTCTGCCCCCTCCTCCTCTCCCTCCTCCTCCCCACGTGCCTCTTCCCAGGCCTGGTTACTCTTTCCTGTGCCCCCTCCCCCTCCTCCTAATAAAGCTCTGATGATGGTTTGGTTGTGTCTCATGACCTTTCCTCACATGCTATATTTTTAAAACAGCATGCGTTATACTTTTCTTTTCTTCTTCTTTCTTTTTTTTTTTTTT